GTTTTCTCAGGATAAACTTGCATTTTTTTTAATCAATCTTTTTATGTGTGCCTTAGTCCTCGTAGTATGCTCTTTATTTGTTTAAACAAATGTGTAATGAAAGCAGTTTTAAGGATTACCTAATTTCTCTTGTTTTTGGTAGGATTTAGAAGCTCTGAGTCAGGCATACCTTTGATATCTCTGGATGAAAGATATTGGCATCTACTTGTCTTCATTACTGTAAAATTATTTTTATTAATCATTCTCAGTATTTATTGTATTACTGCTGTAGGAGTAAAACCAGGCACTGGAGATACAAATGTGAACAGGACAGATCGACACTATCTTCATGATGCTTACCTAGTGTGGGGACAGAGCATGGACAATCTTACACTTGAGACTTGTGGGCATACAGGAGGCACAGATTAGCTCACTGGGGATAGTTGAATAGGTGGCTGATTTTAAACCTGATGAGAAGAGAAGCAGCCAAGGAGGCTGAGAAAGAGGAACAAGTGAGGGGGGGATGAAAATCCCGAGAGTGCCAGAAAACAGAGCAGCAGATACTGTTTCCAAAAGGAGGTGGTGCTAAAGGCCACGCAATGGCACTAGCATGTTATGTGTGATGTAGAAACATGGAGATTATTGAAAACCTTGACAGGGCCTACTCATTGCAATGGCAGAGGTTGAATCCAAACTGAATAGGATTTAGGAGTGAATCAGAAAAAGAGAAATGGAAACCATAAGTTTGTTTTTTAGGTCTGTCAGTCTGTTTCTATTCTGTATATAGATTCATTTTGTTTCATTTTTTAGATTCTACCTATAAGTGGTAGAGTATAATATTAATCTTTCTCTTTCTGACTTACTCTGCTTAGTATGATATTCTTTATGTACATCTAGTTGCTACAAATGGCAATCATCCATTCTTTTCCATGGCTGAGTAACATTCCATTATATATGAAATATTAAGAAAAGAGAGTGATACACGTATATCACATCTTCTTAAGCTCTGTTGATGAACATATGGGTTGTTTCCATATCTTGGCTATTGTAAATAGTGCTGCTATGTATCTTTTTGAATCAGAGTTTTCATTTTTCTTGAATATATGCTGCCCAGGAGTGGGATTGCTGTTTCATATGGTAAGTCCATTTTTAGTTTTCTAGGAAACTTCCATACTGTTTTCCATAGGGGCCGCATTAATTTACATTCCCACCACCAGTATAGGAGGGTTCTCTTTTCTCTGTACTGTCTCCATCATTTATTATTTGTAGACTTTTTGATGATGGCCATTCTGACTGGTGCTACCTTATTGTGGTTTTGATTTGCACTTATCTGATAGTTAGTGATGCTGAGCATCTTTTCATATGCCTGCTGGTCATCTGTATGTCTTCTTTGGCATCATAACAGAAGTGTCTCTGTATCACTCATGTCTTTTCATATGCCTGTAGGTCTTCTGCCCAATTTTTGATCGGGTAGTTTTTTTTTTGTTTGTTTTTGTATTGAGTTCTATGAGGTATTTGTATATTTTGGATATTAGTCAGTTGCATCACTTGCAAATGTTTTCTCTAATTCTATAGGTTGTCTTTTTGGGCAAAGGGAAGGGAGGGATAATTTAGAAGAATGATATTAGCAAATACAGACTACTGTACTTAAAATAGATAAGCAACAAGGATTTACTGCATGGCACAGGGAACTATATTCAATATCTTCTAATAACCTTTAATGAAAATAATCTGGAAATAAATGTATATAAGGTCACAACAGGATTGGAGAACATTAAGAAAAGTAGTTAAGGAAATCCGTCATCGGTCTTATATATAAATGTATATATATAAATGTATATATAACTTAATCACTTTGCTATATACCTGAGAATAACACAATATTATTAAATCAACTATACTTCAGTAAACAAAGAAAGAGAAAGCACACATAAACATTCTTTATAAAAGTTTATTTAATGGGATGCAGAGAATTGGAATGTTTGCGGAAGAGGGATATGGGCTCACAGAATATTGAAGACAGAAGATACTAGAGCATGGCTGAATGACCCATGGAGGGCTGACATTATGGTGCATGTGAGAAACCCCCGCATGAACAACAGCTAGTTCTAGCATGGGAGGAATGCATAATGAAATAGCAGGTTGATATCAACAATAAAAATCTAATGAAGAGACTTGAAAGGAAAGAGATTTTGTGAGCCAGAGCATCAGCTTCTAGGTCCTACAAGACATTTGGTTATGTCCAAAATGTCCATGAGATATTTGGGCCATAACACAATTGGTCCATAAGACTTTGATCCATGCCAGAAGGTTCTTGAAATTTGGTCCTATCCAAAATGTCCACGAACATATTTGGCCCATGCCAAATGGTTTTGGAAAGGGCTAAATATCAAGGGCCTTTGCCATGGACCAAACGTCTCCACGGAAGTTTTGGACAGGACCAAATAGTCCTGCAAATATCAAGGATAGTTTGGTGTGGACCAAATATCTTTTGGACATTTTGGACAGGATCAAATGTTTGCTAACTGACTAAAAGTTTTGTCTGTGTAACAGTATTGTATGGATAGTGAAGTAGATTGATGGACTCGACCAAGGTACCCAGTTTAAAGGAATGTACAAGAAATGTTTTACATATTTGTAAGTAATGAGGTATTTCTGTTTCTTCTTCTGAGTAGTTTGTCTATTTCAAATACTTAGTCTTGTATTAAATAGATATTGACCTTAAACTTAAGCTCCTTTTCTTTATTATGCAAATTAACTGAACTATTTATCTTATACCCATCTTTGTCTTTACATCCTAGTCCATCATAACAGAAGTGTCTCTGTATCACTCATATCCAGGCCAGTCTGGGTCTATAATGAACACTTAAATTTCAATTGATAAAGGAATGGATTTTAGGTGTGTAATATTGATATCTTATTAGGTTATTTCCTTCCTTATTATTTATAATAATATATTTATAATAAAATTTTCTGTAAAATCTGACCTGCTTGAGGAATGCTAAGAAGAAAAATAGATAAATCTTTTTTTACCTATCACTGGAAGAAAAGTTAAGTGAATTACAGTCTGGGGAAAAACTGTGACCATGAAAATTAAAGTAAAAGTGAGAAACTTCAAAGGACAACTTAAAATAAGTGGAAAAGATGGATATATTCTTTTTATTTCCATGAAAGGTAATATCACAGTCCTATATAGAAGTTTTCAATATGCTGAAATTCTTTAGTTATTATGAAAAATTTAAAGAGAAATATAGTTGTCAAAATTAAATATTAAATTTGAAACATCTTTATTTTTCCTAGTAATCATTTTGTAGTAAATTATGTTACATGTGATACATGTTTCTCTTTTGTAGAAGACCACAGTTTTACAAAAACAAATTAAAAAGAGAGAGATAAAGAATAATATATGATAATAAAACAACCTATATTTAATTATATCATTTGAGATAGTTTACCAATGTATAAATTTGACCTATAATAGGACTAACTCTGACCTTAGTGAACAGCTCTAATTTTTAAATTAAAACCAGAATTTTGATTAGAATATGGTTGTTGTATTATACATACCATGTGGTTCATCATTTCTAATTTGTTAGAAAAGCTATACCAGGCTAGAGTGACTTAAATGTGTGTGTGTTGGGGGGGCACATATGCATATGGTGCCGTTTAAAATCAGAGTTGTTGAGTTCTGATAATATACTAGGACTTGACTTAAACTCTTTACATCTATTAATGTACCAATTTTTATAAAGACTGTATCAGTTTTTATAAAGACTAAAGGTATATCTCCCTTTGTAAAGGTGAGAAAACTGAGATTGAGAGACAAAGAGTTTAATTAACTTGTCCAAAGTGATTTGGATAGTGAGTGGCCAACCCAGTGTCAATCTAGCTACTTTTTTATATAATCATGTGTTTCTGCAGAGCCCAATAACAGCAGTAAGTCTTACTGGTAGTAGTGATATTGAGAATTTACAAGATTAACATAAGAAATAAAAGTTTATATACAATAGATTTCAATATTTTTAGGATGTAAATAACTAGAGCTGAACCCCATTTTGAAGATAAGAAAACTGAGACTCAAAGTGTGCTTGATAATAATGAAAGGGGAAGAGGTGATAGGGTAAGTTTAGGGTGAGGGAATAAGTTTTACAGCAACCACTGAAACAAGAAATGGAGAACATTAGCAAACATCCTGGCTTTTTATTGTCATATTTTAGTAGGAAAACAAGGAAACTACATGTAGAAAATACAGAAGTGTTATGTAGCAACTATACCACTTAGAAGTATAGAATGAAAGAAAAAAGAATAAATCTGAATGTTTATGCCTTTAAGTAAAATTGGTCCACATAAAAATATCCAGGCATTTGTCTTATTCTGAATGATGTGTACAGAAATGCATGCATTAAAAACCTAACATATTCAATTAAAAAACAAAGTCAATGAATAATTAGATGACTGCATATTTTCTTTTCAAGATTACTATATTTTTGCTTCTATTATGACATGGGACTCTGTAGTAAATCATCCCGAAGGCCTGGAATTCTAAAATTGAACATTAATACATCATTAACAAGAACTAGATTTGTATGGACTAGAATCTGGAAGACACTTTCTGTTTCATATAAAAATGCTAAAATATTGATTAAAAATTATTCTGATGTGTGTTTGATCCACTAAGTCTTCCACACGTATTTTGACAGTGTGTGCAGTGTCGTAGATATTACTGCTGTAGCTGTAATAAACAACTCAAAGTGTGAAGATGAAATATTAGCCAGACTCCAGTCATATTTTCTCAATTTTATACCTTCATAGATACCAGACTTACACAGGAAGTGACTGAATGTGAAATAAAACTGTGTGTACTTGTGTACTCAGGGTGGGGGTGGGAAGACTTTAAAATTTTGATAGGATCAATTAATATCTGAGTTCAAGTTATTAATACAATATCACCTCTAAAATGTGTATTTCACATTCCCCGTCATCTTAAGCTGGATCAGAGTGTGAAGTTTTTGTGAACCTACCTGATCTAAATTCTAACCAAACACTGGCTTGATTCAGGTCACATGATGTGATGAAAAGGAAGAAGCACCACTGAGTCCCCCTCCAGAAAGGACCTGCTGCTCCTGCTTCTGGGGGTTTTATCAGGAGACAGACTTCAGCTGTCAGCCCATTTTTAGGGACTGCCTCAACAGCAGAGAGTCTCCTCACCCAAGGGACAGCCTGCACCTGATGACTAATTGAGATGGGAATAAAGACCTGAGATTTTCAGCCCAATACAAGATAATTCCCATAGGCCCTTTCAGTCCCATGGCTCTCTCTAAGGATTGCTGAACCCACTGGATCCTCCTTCTGCCTTGCAGTTGATTTCTTCCCTCCACCCAACCCTGCATTTCTCAGTTCCCTTCTAACGGGGTTGACTCCTTGGCACTAAGTATCTCTAGGAGTCCACTTCACAGAGAGTCGAAGTTACAGCTTCAGAAGTATGGAGCTCAACAAATGTACCATCTAGGCCCTAGGGTCACAAGATTGAATTCTGCAGGGGCTGTTTTAGTTTGACGGGATGGCTCATACACAGCAGAAATTTATTGCTCACAGTTCTGGAAGCTGGAAGTCCAACATCAGGACTTGGTGGTCCTGATGGTGGGGTGAGCAGACTTCTCCTTGTGTCCTCACATGGAAGAAGGGCAGGGAGCTCTGTAGGATCACTTTTATGGACGATAATTTCATTCATGAGTGATCCAGCTTCATATCCTAATCACCTCCCAGAGACCTCACCTTCTAACACCATCACATTGGGCACTAGAATTTCAACAAATACGTTCTTGGGCAACACAAACATTCAGCCCATAGTAGGAGCCAAGTGGCTATCTTACTGAGTGAATTAGTCTCAGCATCAAAATGGAGTCATCGTATGATCCACTCCTTGGCACACATCTGGAGAAAACTCTAATTTGAAAGGATGCATGCCCCTCAGTGTCCACAGCAGCACTATTTACAGTAGCCAGGACATGGAAGCCACCTAAATGCCATCTGCAGCAACATGGATGGACCTGAGATTACCATACTAAATGAAATAAGTCAGACAGAGAAAGACAAATATCATGTGATAGCACTTACATATAGAATCTTAAAAGTAAGACAAATGAACTTATTTACAAAACAGAAATAGACTCCGAGACATAGAATACAAACTTATGGTTACCAAAAGGGGAGGGGGAGAGGGATAAACAAACAGTTTAGGATTAACATGTACACATTACTCTACATAAAATAGATAAGCAACAAGCATTTACTGTGGAGCACAGGGAGCCATATTCAATAACTTGTAATGACCTGTAATGGAAAAGAATCTGAAAAAGAATAAATACACATACAGATATAATAGATACATCTATAATAGATATCTAATGTTTATATATCGATATTTATTTGATATATATATATCTCTAATATCTTATATAATAGATGTAAGAATATATATGTATAACTGAATCACTTTGCTGTACACCTGAAACTAATGCAACTTTATAAATCAACTATACTTCACTAAAAATAAAATAGTGGTGAGTGTGGCAGTGGTACTGTGGGGACCAGAAGCTGCAGAGCACAAGCCCCCTCTAAAGAAAATCAGATTCATTCAAAATAAAATATGATGAGGCAAACTAAATATATTTTAGAACCAAAAGAGAACACTCATTGTTGCTAAATCTTCAAAGCATTCAGTCATGGGTAGCAGAGGAAAAACAATAGAAATAAAGCAATATTCAGGGATTTCAAAGCTTAAACTCTGATTAAAATATACACTTTTCTAACTAAAATATGGCTGTAAAAGAGCTAATGCAAATTATTTCTGCACTTTTTTATAGTAGGAATACACCTTGTCAAGTTCCTTCCAACTCCAAGACTATAAACATTTGTCAGTATAGAAATGACTGAGCTGAATAGGAAACTCAAAGTGGACTTGGCTGAGGAATTTGCCAGGAAAGTGCTGAGAGAAAATTAAGAGCTCTCTTACACTGAATTAATGTGGAACTGAAATTTCAGGTAGGCATGGTGAAATGGAAAGCACTGCACAATTGTGACAAAAGATCGGGTCTGAAGCTTGTCTCCACAGGTACTATGACTAGAGATCTAAGTGATATTCTCCATGCTTTGGTCTTTTCCTATGTTAAATTACGTTATTATTAACACCTCTCACTTTACCTGTTTTATATCACTCTTGTGAGGAATATGGGAAATAATATATAAGAAAACACTTTATCAGTTATGTGTGTGTGTATGTGTGTGTGTGTGTATATATATATATATATATATATATATGAATTCTTTAGACATTTTTCAGTTGCTTCCCATCTACCCAAAGATAATCCACTGAATTTTTTAAATATGTATTTCTCTTTGAAAGTCTGTTTTTTAAAATTTTTCAGTATTGTTTATTCTATTTGTATTTTAATTCAATTAAAATTAGTATAGGTTAATTTTTCTATTTACTTTGATTTAGAATAACCATGCAGAGTACAAAGAAAAAATATATATTTTCTTTCAGTTGGGCCAGAATGTATTTTACTGAGAAAAGAACTATATCAAAAATGCATTGAATGAGCACTTTGATGCCATGAATAGGGAATGACCTTAGAGAAGAAAGAATTAAAATGCTTTAGAAGTTGTAAGGAAACCTGCTGGTTCACTTAATAAAATCAAATGTTGAGCATCCACACCTAGCAATGGAGGAAAATTATTTTTACCACTCTGACTCTTGTCCTCAAGATTAACTTTCTTCTCAAGGTCTGTTAATAGTAATTACTAGTCTAAGGATATGGGAGCAGAAGAAGGCACTGTGTCTCCCAAGGCTCCTGTCCAATGTGGCTATAAACTTGCATGTGCTTCTATACGATGTACCTAAATCAACAGCACAGAACTTAGCACATAACAGATACTTGGAACATAATTTCTTAACGAATGCAAATGTCAGAAACCAGAATAGAGCATTAAAAAGTGTTTTGACTATCATTTCAGGGATTAAAAAAAAGGAATATAAACATAAATAGAAAATTAACATTCCTCCTTTAACCTTGAGCTTACTAACCTAATTCAGAAGATGGACTTAACCAATTGTGGATGACTTGACTTCATGACCTCACTAGAGAACAAGATAATACTAAAATAAAATTATCTATGCAAGAAACACACATACACTACTGCACAGAGATTGTTTCCAGTATGATAGGATAAAGCATATGTCAGATAGTTTGTAAAAGCTTTATCATATAAGTTTTATTTTCCTGTGTTATAATTGTCCAAAATTTCCATAAAATGATTATGTACATGAGCTAGTCATGTCCTATCGTTTGTCTCTAGTTGGACAAAACATTTCAAGGTTAGAGCCTGGAAGCTCTAACTTTGAATACTGCATAGCATTTATGCAGTGACTTATACATTCTAATAAATGACCATTGAAAGAGAAACTGAAACTCTAGGATAGTTCAATTGTTCATAATCTTAACTGGTGTTCATATTAACTCAGTATATTTCTTTGCCACTACATCAAGACTACACCCAAAATTTGAGGGGTTTCTGATTTAAAAAGTCTCAATTTTTAATTCAGTTTTGTATTTTATCTTCAAGAAGACAGACCTAAAAGGGGAGGAAACAGAATTACATATCAAGGCAAAGCTAAGACTGGACTGACTTGACAGATCCACTATCCCTATGAAAACCTAGCTTGACTCCAAGTGACAGTGCCATAAAAAGCTAAATAGAAAACACATTTTGAAAAAGGGTACTTTATTTTGGACAGCAATATATTGGAGTCAACACTTGTTTCATACCAGGAAACACTGCATGATGGTTCTCAGAAGTGGTGTGACTCATGTAGTCAGTCAACCCTCTAGAGTGGATTCTGAGAATTCCAAATGAGAGAACACCGTATCAGTAAGAAAATTGACATCTTCGTTGTCTTTCATTAGTAGTTTTTCTGGCTATTATTTTTTCCACTCCTAAGAGATAAAAAAGATAGAAAACAATGAGTGGCCTGATAAAAGTGTCATGTATAATTTATAAAGCCTTAGAATTTTATAATTATTATGAATCGGAGATTCAGATGCATAGAAAATGCAGATTACATCTTTTAAAAATGCATTTTATGTTTAACTTATAAAGCTATTTTCTATTTATCATGTTATGATTTAGGTAAATTAGTGACAAGGCTCAAAATGTGATTGTTCTAAAAAAATTCTAATTAATGTGATCCTTTACTTCTTTGAACCTTAACCCTCTCAACATTTTGGTTCCATCTTCAAGTAATAAATGTGTGTGTGTGTTCTTATCTTACACTCTCTTAACTTTAGACTATAAATTCTTGGGCACAGTGATAATGTGTCTATAGATATTTTTTTCTCCACCTGTATCAGAGTGCCTAGCAATGAGTAAATGATTGAAGAATACATATTTATGATTTTAATGTGTATTTTCACCTCCTAAGCAGTTTTCTGGGATAACATAATGAAAATTGAATGTGATGAGAAAGACTTTACTGATACTTGCTTATACTGTAGTCATAGATAATTAACCTCATCTCCATAGTAAAACAGTTTTCCCATTTTCATCCCATTTCTTTACTATACCTGTTTATTTTATGAGTTGATGTTAAAAGATATGAAAAGTAAGGCTGTGAATTCCTCCAGTTCCGAGGAACTTGTTTTGGGGCTGATTGAAATAGCTGATCAGTGCCTCAAGACATTATGTGGCTCTCATTTCCTTTTAGCAAGGAATGCCTCTTGATGAAACAGATGCCATCCCCTGTGATTAGTGGGAAAGGCTTGAATTATAAAACAAAAACAGCAAGTTTACAAACTAAGAATTCTAGCTTTCTTGTGTCTTTTTTTTTCCAGATTCCACATATAAATGATACCATATGGTATTTTTCTTTCTCTTTCTGTCTTACTTCACTTAGTATGACAATCTCCAGGCCCATCCATGTTGCTGCAAATGGCTTTATTTTATTCTTTTTTATGGCTGAGTAGTATTCCATTGTATAAGTATACCACAACTTCTTTATGCAGCCATCTATCAATGGACAGAGACAGACTCACAGACAGAAGAAACAAACTTATGGTGATCATGGGGGTAAAGGGATGGGGAGGGATAAATTGGGAGTTTGGAATTTGTAGGTACTAACTGCTGTATATAAAGTAGATAAACAACAAGGTCCTACTGTATAGCACAGGGAACTATATTCAATACTTTATAATGGCCTATAATGAAAAATAATATGAAAATAAATAGATACGTATAAATGCTGTATACTTTATGGTAGCACAACATTGTAAACTGACTATGCTTCAATTAGTAAAAAGAGAGAGAGAGAGAGAAAATCTAACCCTAGCAAAAAAAAAAAAATCCTAACTTGAATAATCTAAATATGTCTCCATAACAACAAATGACCACAGACCTTTTTTGATAGAAAAAGAATAGTAATGGTGTCTTTGTACAGTCAACTAATGGAAAGAAAAGCACTATCTGGAAGAAACAGAAAAGCCAAAAGACTCAGGCAGTTGAAATACCCACTAAATGGATATCTGTGATCCTTAAACTGCATACACAATGCAGTTCATGCCCAGTTGTTTTTAATATGCATTTCTTTAATCTTCCCAACAATTTCAGTGTAGGTAAAGTTGTGGTTCTCAACCCTGGCAGCATGTTCTAATCTGCTGAGGAGATACATTGCCCTCAGCTCATTGGTTTCACTGGTTGAGGACAGCAGCTCTCCATCAGTTTCAGAGAGACAACTTTCTAAAAATGCATATTTCCCCACCTTTTTTATCAGAGTATATTAGATCTAATTGTTTGCTTCTCTGATTGTCATCATGAATAGCAGTTGTTTGCCTCCAATTACAGAGGCTACTAAATTGTATAAATTTAAACATGGGGTCCAAGAATACCAATGATTTTATGGATTGAACTGGAAATAAAATTGGTATTTAGGGACACTTATTTCTATTTTATATTTTATATATATTTATCTATTTAATGTTTGTTTATATATAATATATAAATATATACTTTAATGTAATACATATTATTATATTACATATTATGTATTTATTTCATATTTATATTTTATTGAAAATATAATTTTGAGGCATAGTTATCAGACTCTCAAGTGAGTCGCTGACATATAAAATTTTAAAATTAAAAAAATAAAAAGATTAAGAACTCCTGTGAAAAGGTAATTTGACTCTTAAATTAATTGGTTCCTTATAGATACGGTCTTTGTTTTTTGGTTTTGTATTGTTCATATTTTCTTGTCTCTTTCTCTTTAATAACTAGCTCTAGATCTTCCTATTTGTTTCTTTATTTGTTTTTACGTATTTCACCTAGGAAATCTGGAAAACTAGCTTCTCTACTCTATAGTAATTTTCTGAAAGCTCGTAAGAGTCAACTGCACAAATTTTTCACATGTGGATTTAATGACATGTATGTTGCCAGTCTCACGTTCCTTCAGGATTTCATTCTGTTTCTATATAGTACTTATCTCAGATTAAGTTTCGAATTGTGTATAAATCTCCCAGTAATATGATTTCCTATAGTGCACAAATTCTGTATTATTCATTCCCAAGTCCCCAGGTGGAGAGCATTTCCTAACACATATTAGACGCTCAATTGATATTTGATGAATGAAGGACTGAAAAAACTTGTAATGATGCTATTTTGCTGTGGAAAAGCTGGACTAGGCAACAGTGTGAAAGTTTTCACAGGTGACTATCCTTGACATAATTCTTAGTATTTAAAATAAATAGAATTTAAAGGTTTTCTTGATTACTTTGGAAAATACGTTGGTGTTGAGAAATCGATTATTGTTTTATCATTGTGATTTAGAATTTGGTCAACTTATAAATGTAGAAGCTTATCTAGAAATTAAGTTCACTGAGCATTTATTTTATATGAGTTCTTTCTTCAGACCATGTGAATTTAAAATCAGTTTACTCATATGCATTAAATTTGTTTCTGTTTCTTCTTATTAATCAACAAAAGATTTTGATAATGTCATGAAATACTGTTCACACTTTAACGCTGCAAGTCATCCATTCATTCATTCATTGTCTACTGACTATTAACAAGTAGCTCCTGATATGCCTGATTGCGTTGACTTCTGGTTACTATGTATGCTCCATCTTCAGTTTTGAAATCTGTGTCATTACTGGGTCAGAACTCTCATCTAAAAGTGATTCTACTGTGGTCTTCCTCGGTTCTTACAATTGTAGCTTTCAGCTCTGACCTTGACATTCACTACTACTCACATCTAAGCATGACAGTTATTTATAGAGAGCCATGCCAACATAATGAAAATATAAAGTGGATATTTATGGTACCCAGGATAGTTGCTGCTGAAATTATTTTTATGGTCATATTTTATCTGTGAGATTTCCAATAGCTTTGTTATATTTTATCATAAACACATACTCCATACCTCTGTGCTACCTAAGTTATACAAATCAATTAAGACAAAGAAATTTCTTTGGAAGCTTGTTTTGTTCATTTTTTTCCCTAAAATAACATTTTCAGACCTAGGATAATTTTAAAGGCTGGACAGAAGGCCACTCTGGCAAACAGATATGGATTCTAGCCAATACTCTGACAAAAGTCAGCTAACCTTGTCACTAAAGTTAAAATGGATTCCTTAGGCTCTGCTGTGAATATTTGCATAGACTGAAACGAAACTGTCCACTTTTCTTGAAATAACCTTTATCAGACTGTTGATACTCCTGTTCTCTAACATATAGGGAAAGATTTTAGAAAAATTGGTTTGTTGCCAGTTTATTCATATCATTGCATACAGCCATCTGGCAAATATTTTTCTTAATTGCTTTTTGGGGTGTCATGCACAGCAAGGCTCTGCTATAGCTCTCTTGACTACAATTTCTACATTAATATGGAACTTATCCTCTGATAATAGTTATCTCTGTATTTCATTTATCTCTTTTGTTTAATTCTGACTTTCCTTTTTATAGGCACGCATATGATCTTTTGTAAGACGTGAGATATTTGATGGAATTTTCTACAAAAATTTTATTTTATATATATATATATACACATCCATGTGTGTATATGTGTATATATGGTGTATGCACACATACACATGAACTAAAAATTCTGATCGGAAAACATCAATGTCTTGTTCACATAAACTACCATTAATGATGCGAATCTTATAATATTTCACCTGCTTATGAAACCTAAATACATTTTAATATAAAACTGAGCAGTGGTTTATTTTCTGTATATTTCTTCCAACTTTCAAATCATAATTTTCTCATAAAACTGTGCTCAGGAATTTACAGCTGGGTGTTGTAAATACTCAGCATGTCAGAATTAACTGTGGATCTTTATATTTTAATTTATACTAGTGCTGGACTCCACTGCTGTCAGAATGAGTCAGAATATGCTGGAATATGGTCTAGCTCTGTAATTTCCTTTAAATTTCTCCAGGGCTTCTGATGTGCATTAACTTCCTTGAGACCTATTGCTTTTATGTAAATTATATTTTGTTTAAACCTTGTTTCAAGTCTAGAGAATTTTGACTAAATAATGATGTTATACATCCTACACTTTCTTTCATTTAAAATAGAAGACAAGGTAGTGCAGTCAACACTGTAGAGTACCTGTATTTATGTATTTGACTACTCAAAAGTATTCCCAGGATTCTTAGTCTTTAAAGAAACTTTAAAGTTTTATGAAACTTTAAGAGTACTCTTAGCAACTTAGCCAATTTCATGTCACTGAAAACATTATGCTTTCTTAGATATAGTAGGTGATTAACAATTGTTGGTTGAATGAATGAAGGATGTTTAGAAGAGAGGATGTAGGATGGTTAACTTGCATTTTATAATATTTTAAATGGTAACGCATAAAATTCTGTATTGTAGTTATACATTTTTATGTATATGTTAATAAACCTCATTTTACATCTTGATAGGATAAATTTGCATAATATAAAGTTGAATATTAGGTCTTGGAAATTTGTATTATTACTAAACCTCCATTCAACAACTATTTAAATTACTATTATATATGGAACAATGTAAAAGGCAGCCTACTTTATAGTTGATTCACCTAATTATTCTATGATAATTACACTCCACAACGCTGCTGTAACCTTACAGATAGACCCTTAAGCACAGTAAAATGCCACACGAGCCTACAAAGTTTGAACATTTAATGGCATCAAAAATGCTGTCATCAGTAAATTCTTATGACACAGAAATATTTTTAAGAATTTATTTCTAAACTACTAATTTTTTAAATGACTTCGTGTTGTGTTTTGTTATGTTCTTCTGCAACATATGTGTCATGCTTAATAATTTTTTTTGCTTTCTTCACAATTTGGAATTCGAGTTATTTAAAGTTTATGTCTTAGTTTTTCAGTACATGAATTGGAGATAAGGTAATTATTTTTGAAGTAATTATTAAATACAAGGATAAAAGTACTGATTCATTCAGTAGGAACCTAGTGGAATAATACATAGAATACTGCTTGGTTTGACATCTATAACATTTATGGGTAACTCAGATTTATTATAGATATTAAATAATGTCTCATTAAAACGATGACGGAATAATTTGCATCTGGATGAAGAGAATATACCAGGTGTTTATCTCTATCTAAATCCAAATCGTATTAATGGACATCTCTCAGAATTTTAACATTGTCTTTATAAAATTGAAAACAAGTATAGACACTGTGATTATTACTGATTATTAAAATAAGAGCCTTTATACCAAATAAAGTTCAGATAATGTTATGATGCATTTAATGAAGCAAACTTGATTTTACCAATTTGAAAAGGAGAGATTCTGGAACAATTAAGTCTTCTTACGATTCAAAGGAACTTGGACCACAGTAGTAAGTACCCTGAGATCACTGTGAACAGTGAC